CATCTCACTGACTAACTAGGGCCAGCTTGGTGAGAGCTTAACTGAATTCCCTAAGAAGTCACCACATAAAGTGTCACTTCTCAGGAGGTGATGCAGCAGGTGCCAGAGCCTAAATGAAACCAAATGCTTCATCAAGTCATTTAAGGCACTTTGAAAATGAGAAGAGGTCACAGCCTTTTGCCCATCACTGTAGAGAATTCAGGAGTGATTCTGGAATTAGTAGAAATCTCAGTGGCAAAAGGCAAATGAATCTACTGGCACAAAAGAGCAGGCCAGATGCGTCATGTAATCTTTGTATTCTACCCTGCCTTCTAGAATCACTGACAATTGACTTTCTTCAGAGAACACAACTTGGCCAGGCAATGAGGAAAAAAAAAAAAAAAGTGCACCATTCAGCTATGATATAAAACTTCCATGCTGTGAGAATCGATTTTCAATGTGGCTGCTGATAATATCAAATCCAAACTATTTTCCAATTCTGATTAGATAACAATGTAAAAGCTATTTTAATTACAGTGATGTAATTATAATACTTAACATCTTGAGCTCACAAAAACTTCTCCTTCCATTCCTGGGCACTCAATTTGACCTGAGGCTTTCTCACACTGAGTATTCCTTTAGTGATTAAACCTCTAGTCTCTGTGGACTGTGAAAGTATGTAATTAATAATGATTTTCTTGACTTTCTCTGGTTATCTTTAGCTCTTTACTTAATGTGCATTCCCCTTCCCCAGACTGTCACACATAACCTCCTAGAAACTACTGTCCATCCATCCTAGCATTTCCAACATTTTCAGCTTGAGTTGACCTAAGACTCACTGGTATGGAAAGAGAAAGAAAGAGTCAGAAGATATTCATTCAGCCTTTTGCACATTCAAATACTGTACTGTTTCTTATAAGCCAGGTATAGTTCTACAGTCTGAGAATACAACAGTGAGCAAATAATAAAGAGCCCACATATGAAAGCATATAATCTAGTAAGGGATACAAAAGAGCAGAAAGACAACTATAGTACAGTGGATGGTCACCCTTAGGATAAGGTTCAGGTTGGTAGACAAGAGATGGGAAAAAGGTTTAAGAATGGGGAGAAGTTAGGGAAGGCATATAATAAATGCCTAAGCTGTGTCCCGAAGCATGTATAGGGACTTACAAGATAGAAGTAGAAGAAATAGCATGTATAAAAGCATAGCTGAACCCAAGGCTAGACCAAAACATAATATCCAAGACAGGATAACATTCTAGCATACTTCCAACTGATATTATTTAAACATTTGTTAAAGATTTACTTTATGGGATAGAGAAAATTATTTTCTATTAATTAAAATTAAACAAAGGGTTTATTTATTCATTTCTACTAAGCTAAAAGAGTTACTCTTCTGATAAAAATCAGAAAATATTTCTAGTTCTTGATCTCTCCCTTTCATTCAATGATTTTTTTTCTAGATCTCTTCTTCTAATCCTACACAAAGTAAGAAATGAAAATCTTCAATTTTTAGGAAAAAATACATCTGTAAAACAAGTATCATGTTTCCAATTTATTTTAGTGATATTTTAGTGTCCTTTATAAAATGGCCCCCAGACATCCCACCTACCTCTCTACCTTTAGGCTCTCTCTGATGAGATGGTGGAGAGTGAAAGAGAGTCCAAAGATGAGGCTAAAAATGTAGACAGGAATCAGATAATAAACAGAAAAGGAGGAGTCTGCACTATACCTTAAGAGCCATGAGAAATTGTTGGGAAGATTGGAAAAGGGGGAACGATTATGAGGCTGTTTTTTTGTAAATCAGGTAAAGATGCTAGCAACTTAAGATGAAAACAGTAGAGATACAGAGTGGCACATACTTGAAAAACAGGAGCTATAATTGACTAGGCTTGGAGATAAAAGGAAAGGAGAATAATAATTAGGATAATTCTTAAGTTTTAGGCTTGAGCAGTTGATAAAGATACTACACACTGAGACAGGGTAGAAAGAGACCAAGAGGTTTGGTATAAAAAAACCATAAATTCGGTTTTATATATGTTGACTGTTGTACTTATAGGACACCAAAATAAAGATATTTATAAGTACATCTGAGACCAGGAGAAAGATTTGCGGTGAAGATAGATGTGGGCAGCCTCAGAACATAGATGGAATCCATGGGATGAGAATGCTAGCAAAAGTATACAGAGGTACATATAAAAGGATCTATGGAGGATCCTGAGAATCTCCTATATTAAACGATAAGAGGCTAAGAAGAAACTGTCAGAGAGAATGGAAGAAAAGCAAAAGCTACAGCATCATAGCTTCAAGGATCCAAGAAGTGGTCTAAAATGTCCATTGATAAAAAGAAGGAAAGAGGTATTTGCTAAATTACCAAGAAGTCATTGTTTGTGAACTTGTTGAGAACAATTTTAATGAAGATTAACTCCAGCTGCAGTGCTTATTAGCCATGTGAACTTAAGTCAATCACTTGACCAAATCTCAGGTTCTTCATCTGTAAAATAAGAAAAACAAAAATGCCCAGCCTTCCTACTTTGTGGTTTTGTTACGATTAAATTAAATGCTATAATGTATCTAATATAAGAAGGTACAGGCAAGCATTATTGTAACTGTTTTTCTTCAGGCCATTCACGAACATCAATTCTCTATTCCAGGCACATGGCTCAGAAGTCACATTTGACTTACACTGGCCAATTTTCGTCAGAAGTGACTCAGGCAAAAGCTGTAAGAAATAGTGGATATTTCAACATGTTCTCTGTTCCTTGCTACTGACATTGTAAAAGCATGTTTCAAAATGAAACCTTCATCAGCCTAGATCCTTGAGTGATTGCCATGGCACAGACGAATTCACTAATCCTCACATTTCATTCAACATTCTTAGTTACGGAAAAGGTAAACAATAACAATAAATGTACATAACAGAATTTCTGATGAAGGTACATTCATCTGGAAAGGATGAGACAGTCCATCAATGAGAAAAAACTGCCTCCCCTATCACCATTCTTATATAACTATTGTTTGTACTCTAAATTTTCTTCACCTCTTAGTAAGCACATTTTGCACCTAAATGTTTGACTGGTTGCATATGTGTGTTAGGCCAAAGACACACTGCACAGATGGGTTATTAAAATAAACAGAAAAAAGAATAAGTAACCAGAACCAAACTTTATGAAGAAATTGTTTTATTTTTCAGCTGTTAACAGTAAAAGTTATTGCTGCCAAATGCCAAATTGCTATTTGATATGCCTAAATGGAACAAGTGTGCTGGAAAATGGCAATTACTCAGAACCAAGGCCAGAAGTAGAATCCAGGTCAAAGTGAGGCACTAGCACCCACGAGACCAGCCATCTCACCAAGAACACTGGATTTCCCCCACTTCTTCATTCTGGCCTTGGCCCGTCTCATTAGTTTTGACAAACCATGAAAGAGAATCATAATTGCCTCAGTCCCAATAGAGTTGAAATGAATCACACGAAACACTTAACAAGAAATGTTTGTCTGCTTGTGATTTTTTTTTTTAATGGGGATGAGCAGAAACGTAGACAAAACATTTCCACAACTCTTCTTTTAGAAATGTCTTAAGTGTCATTTTACATAGTGTCATCATTAATAAGCACATCAAAAAAATCTGACTACTATCTTTTGACCTAAAATTTTTGACTATTTCTAAATCAAATCCAATTTTGAACTATGAAGATTATGCAGTTTCTGTAAAAGCAATTTCACAAGGCCGTTCCTCATTCAGCTTATATAAGTGCCCAACCAATCATCTGATGACCTGAGCAACAGCTCAAGGTGACTGCTTTGAGGAGGGCTCATTCATTAGGATAAACAAGCTCTGGAATGATGTGTATTCAACTTTGTGTTCCTTAGAGATTCCTTAATAAAGAGTTGCTGAATTGAATTTCCGTAATAAGTGACAAAGCCAGATCATAAATTTAGGATTTTTTTTCAACCGTGTGTTATTACGTCCAATGCTGCTTCTTGCCAGAAACCAGCTAGTTGTTTTCTGTTACTTGAAAATTTGATTATGTATATTCTGTCGCCATAATTGCTTTTATTCTCAAACAGCTCCCCTAAGAGGGCAGAACAATGTGCTTATCTGACAAACGTTAAGTACTATAACTAGTATAACCACTATTATAATCTTAAAAACTATACCTTTTAAGTTGAGCTAACTACTAGAATTATTTCCCCAGCAACTTAACTGTAGCAAACCAATTTACTACAGCATAAGAGACAAGCTAAAGCTAAATAATCCTAAATCTGCCTCTAGAAGTTTGGCTTCCTTTGCTTTTCTCCCTCTTCAGGACAGCAATGCCAAACAGAAGAATGTTGCTGTATCTTTACTCACCAATGTTGGCCCAAGGGCGGGATGGGGACTGGGGGAAGAGGGAGGCGGGGGTAGTGACTAAGATAGGCTTGGTCTTTGAGAGGGGGTAATATTAACAAGAACAGAAGCTGCCTGAAGGAATCCTATTGGATATATATATATATATATTTAAAAAATCACAATATTTTCTGTGAAATAAACTAGAAAAATTTTAAAGCCCAATCACACACTCCGGGTGTTATGCACACGCAAATTCACAGAACCAGTCTGGTGCATAGAAAGGTCAGAAAACCTGCAGTTGCCTCCCTCCACATCAACACCGGAGGCAATGAGTACTAGAAGCCAAAGCACGTACTCAATGGCGCAAAATCACTGACTCACAGGGAAGAAGGGATGAGAAAAGTTTACTCAGAGCTTCTGCCCGTAGACAAGAAGCCAGAATTGTCAACCTAGAACTCCGGAAGCCACTGAACCCAATTACAGGAATCAACCCGACGCCCACCCTCGGAAGGGGGCAGCCCCAAGATCTAGGGCGGGACATCGGGGCGGGGCCTCCGAGGGGCGGGGCCCCGCGGGCGGGAGCGGAGGGGAAGCCGGGCCCCGCCCGCGCCGCGCGGGGTAGGCAGGCTGCCCAGTTCTGAGGAATGGGGGGCATGGGGAGGAGAGCCCTGACTGAACGAGGTGCTACCTGCGCTGGAAGTCCAGGGCGAAGGGCTTCAGGTACGGGTCAATCTCCAGAAGTCGGCCTAGTTCGGGCACGTCTGTCAAGGCAGCAGCCAGCGCCGCCTCATAGCTCTCCGCCGGAGCCGCCATCTTCTGCCGCAGTCCGAGTAGCCGAGGCCCGAGAGGTCGAGTGGCGCCTGAGCGGGAACGGGAGCTGGAGCCGAGAGGAAGGCCTCTAGGGCGGGGCTGGAGGACGCTGAGGCGAGCCGCCGCGGCCCAAGGCCCTTTATAGCCCGACAGGACGGTCGCCTTCCCCCATTCTCCCCCCCGCCGGCGGGGAGGAGCAGGGCCCAAGGTTATTCTCGGAGGTGCGTCCTGAGCGGGGAGGAGGCGCAGAGGTCCCTTAGCCCACCCGTGCGGCTACCTTGGGGACCTAGAAGCCTGCCTTCTCCTCCCCCTACCTCTTTACCCTGCAGGACTAGGGGAGGCGAGTCTGAGCTGGCCTAGCTCAGTCTTGCTCTGTTACTCTGACCCATTCTTGGCTCCCGAGCGGACCCTCTGCTTTCCTTTTAAACTCCTACTGGCGACATCCCCTTCAAATGGATAAATGATTACCTTGGAAAGGAAACTTCTCAAAGTTCTGAGAATTTCTTGTTCTTAGGGCAGTGTGTCAGACAGATCAAATAAATTCACAGTGAGGGAAACGTTCAAGTATGGATATAGTAATACCGTTGAAAATGTTAACATAATTTCCTAACCAGAAATCTTCTAGTTTTTCCTTGTGCATTTAACCAAAAGAGGCAGGATCCTGGAATAGTCCCACGGATACTGATCAATGGATGAGAAATGAGACCATGGCAACTTTTCCCATTCCTCATACCTCAGAAAGAAATGATTGTCTTTGCTAATAATTGTAACAAACTATTAAAGGCAAGAAGTTTTCCCATTCCTCATACCTCAGAAAGAAATTATTGTCTTTGCTAATTGTAACAAACTGTTAAAGTCAAAAGCAAATGGAGATCAGCCTTGAAAATTCCCTGGGCTGACAAGACCAGTCATACAAACAAAGCTTACTTACTTGAGCTTATATTGCAGGACTAGCTTGACTTGGGTCAATTCTTCTATATGCCTTTGGAAATCATAAGCAAAACTCTTAATTTTTTTTAAGGTTGATATTCATTAATTTTACTTCTGCTATTTCTAAACTTAACAAAACCATCCTAGATGAGAGAAATGGTATAGGGAAGAGCATTAAATTGGAATTCAGCCATGCTACTTAATAAAGAAGCAATAATACAAGAAATCGCTTTCTTTTGGCTTAAAAAATGGAGATTCTACACTTGGAACGTATGTTCTTTCATTCCCATTGACTGGCTTCTAGCTTATTGATTCTTTTTTAAGAATACAGAATTTTGCACCAAAATTGCACCCATCAACCCAGGAGTTTCCAGCCTGCTTTATACCTAGAAAGGTATAAAGGATATCAGTTTCAGTTAAGACTTGGGTGTGGTAAATCCTAGGGGCTGTAGAGAAGAGTGTTGATCAGCCATGGGCCTTGAATTTTAAAGCATTCAAAACTGTGTGTGTGCATGACGGAATTAATAAAGGACTTGAGAAAGATCTAATAACAGGACCTCAAAGTGAAAGAGTGGAGGACTTGGACAACCTAAAGAAAGGTGTGTCTTATTTTCCATAAAGATGACAGCATGCAAATGTTTGTCAACATAAAACAACACTTGAAACCCAGAAGCAGGATACTCAAAAGATCCAATCCTAAACTTTTCTCAGAAATCCAAGTTCATGTGGATATGCCTGCTGAAATCTCCACTTAGCAGGCTAAGAGACCTAAACCCCAGCTATCTTCACATCCTTTCTACTATGGCTCTTAAAATACCAAACTGGTTTCCCCTCTTCTATCCTTTCTCACTCCTAATCCATTCTCTAGTGTTTCACACAGGTTAATGTGCATATGAATCATTTGAGGATCTTATCAAAAGTAGAAAGTCATGTAATTCTGGGATGGTGTCTCAAAATTCTGCTATTTTAAAAAGTACAGAGATGCTGCTGCTGCTGTTTAGGGACACAGTTTGAATAGTAAGGCTCTACACAAGGAATAAATCATACAACTTAAATGTCATGCAGGTTCACTTAGAGTTAAATATAAACGCCTTATCATCTCTAACAAGGTTTATGTAATCGTCGTCTACTTTTCCACCATCTTCTCATCCTCTGACTTTATTATTCTTTAGTCACACTGAGTTCTTCATAGCCTCCGAGACTTCAGTTGCCTTTTTCTCTGTTGGGAATTCTCTTGCCTGGGCTCTTCATGGGTGGTTCCCTCAAGTATTCATTGAGATTTCAGTATAAATGTCAACTCATCTCCAAGAAGCCTCTGATTTCACTATCTAGATTCTTCAGTATAACCTATTATAGTGCTTACTCTCCTATGCAACAGTTAACAAAATTTAGGTGTTTTTCTCTTGTATTTATTGATCTCCCTTCTTAGAATATAAACTCCAAGAAAGCAGAGAACTATTCTGTCTTATTCAATATTGAACAAGTATTTAAGTCTCATGTGCTAGCTAGTCCTAGGTACTGGGGATTAGTGATGAACGACACAAGTTTTAACTGTCATAAAGATCACAGAATAGGTAAATCTGTGAAACTGAAAGTACAGTATTGGTTTCCAGAGCTGGATGGAATGGAGAGTGACGGCTAATAGAAATGAGTTTTCTTTTAGGGATGATGAAAATTTTCTAAAATTGATTATGCTTATGGTTTCACAGCTCTGTGGATAGATTAAAAACTATTTAAATTGTATGCTTTAGGTATATGATATATGAATTACAACTCAGTAAACCTGTTTCTAACTTAAAAAAGGATTTTTAAGTATAAATAATATTAAATATATCCTTTAAAGCTACATATTCTCCACCCTGTTGAAAATCATTAAAAGAAAAACAATAAGGAAAACCAGAGAGCTGCGACCAAACCAAAAGAGAAGTAAAAAACAAGTAACTTTTAAGTAATAACAAGAGTGGTGATAATGGAAAAAAGTGTCTCCTTTCAGACAAAGGAGAAATTTCAGAAAAAAAGAGAGTGATAATAGCCCTTTTATATTTAAGAATGTCATTGAGGTCCCAGGTGTTCTGGTTCTTTCATTTTCTCCTATAGGCTTTGAACTTGTTTGGCCCCTTGTGGTCATTAAATGGCTGCCATAGCTCTAAGCATCACTTCTTCATAAGGCCACATCTAAAGGAAAGAAAAATGAGTGTTTTTCCTGTGTGCCTTTGCCTAAGGGAAAACTTTTCTTTATATCTCTGGCTGAAGCTAGGTCACATACTTACCCCTAAATACTGACATAGAGGAATATGACTACCATGATTGGTTTAAATTTGTGATTCACTGCTTAAATTGGGTTCATCTTCCCTTATTGCATTGCTGCCCAACATCTGGATAAAAATGGCGATTCATTTCACATGGAAAAAGAAGAATGGGTAATCATGTCTGCCATGTCTTCCTTTGGAGCCATCCTAGATCTACTATCCATGAAACTTGCCGGTGTTATTAAATATCTTGTCTCTTTATGATTGATTTTACCATACTTACATGGAAAAACCACAACCTAGAATCAAATAATTTGCCTTCTCTTTTTCTGCATTCAGACTGCTTAGGAATACACACACACACACACACACACACACATACATATACATATACATATATATGTATATATATATACACGCACACATATATACATATATAAATAAAACTATAGGAACTAGTTTCACTAAAACCCCTTCCTCATGCAAGGCAACCACAATTTTACAGGCCATAGACTACATAAGATATGCCCAATTAAGAGAGCAAATGAGGCCATTTGCTCTGAGGAAGAACTTCCTTTATACAAAGGTGCTTCTCATCACGCCATGAATCCATAACAGTGTGTCTACTAAGTAAAGGCACTGCGTTACATGTGGAATCTAAAAAACAAAAAGAAACTAATCGAAAACAGACTCATATAGAGAACAACCTGGTGATGGCCAGAGGGGAAAGGGATTGGGGAGCTGGGAGAAAGGGATGAAGAGTTAAAGTACAAATTAGTAATTGATAGATAGTTATGGGGATGGGAAGCACAGCATAGGAAATGTAGTCAGCAGTAACATAATGGCTGTTTGTAGAGCCAGATGGGTGAAAGAGTAATAGGGAGGATAGTTTCATTAACTATCTAATTGTCTAACCAATCAATATATTATATACTTGAAACTAATAAGATCAAATGCTAAAAAATAAATAAATAAATAAAATAATCTAAAGGACACAGTACAGTCATGGGGATACATGCTGAAAAATCAGTCATTAGGCAATTTTGTAATTGTGTGAACATCATACAGTGTATTTATATAAACCTAGATGGTATAGCCTACTGCCATAATTGTATGTGCTATTCTTTTATACAACTGGCAGTGCAGTAAGTTCATTCACAACAGTATCACCTCAAACACATAAGTAATTTGTTCCCCTAAGACATTAAGACAGCTACAATGTTATTTGGCGATAGGAATTTTTTGACTCCATTATAATCTTAGGAGACCACTGTCATATTCGTGGTCCATCATTGACCAAGACATTTTTATTCAGCACATGACTATATAGGCAAACCTTGTTTTTTGCATTTCACTTTATTGCGCATTGCAGATATTGCATTTTTTACCAATCAAAGGTTTGTGGCAACCCTGTGTCAAGCATTTTTCTAACAGGATGTGCTCACTTCATATCTGTCACATTTTGATAATTCTCACAGTATTTCAAACTTTTTCATTGTTGTTATATTTGTTACGGTGATCTGTGATCAGTGATCTTTGATGTTGCTATTGTAATTGTTTTGGGGGTGCCACAAACTGTGTCCATTTAAGACAGTGAACTTAATTGATTAATGTTGCATGTGTTCTGACTGCTCCACCTGCAGAATATTCCCCAATATCTCTCCTTCTTCTTGGGCCTCTTTGTTTTCTGATACACAACAATATTGAATTAGGCCAATTAATAACCTCATGATGGCCTCTTAAGTGTTTAAGTGAAAGGAAGAGTTGCACATCTCTCACTTTAATCAAAAGCTAGAAATGATTAAGCTTAATGAACAAGGCATGTTGAAAGCTGAAATAGGCCAAAAGCTAGACGCCAGTTAGCCAAGTTGTGAATGCAAAGGATAAGTTCTGTAAGGAAATTAAAAGTGCTACTCCATTGAACACATGAATGATAAGAAAGCAAAATACTCTTATTGCTGATATGGAGAAAGTTTTGGTGGGCTAGATAAAAGATTTAATCAGCCATAACATTCCCTTAAACCCAAGCT